ACATTGCTGTGCTGCCATATAAACATGCTTCCTGGGCTGTAAAGGGGGTGGGGATATTCAGCTAATAATGAAATGGCCTAGACCTGGACACAACAAAAGTCTTACTGGCTACTGGCAGCAGCAAGCTCATGTCAACAATGCCTAGCAAATGTAAGTGTCTGACTCTTTCCTTTATATATAAGTTCCGCTGTATAATAGGCAATGAAACGTTCCAGATCCTGTAACTCATGACAGTTGTTGTCACAAAGCTTGAGTAGCTTTAAGTCACAAAGATTTCATCTTTGTCCTTTATAACGCTACTCACAGCATGCAAGAAACTTCTCACTGGTATGCTCCTTGTCATGGCTACTCTTATTTGAATATAAAACACCTTTTGGTGTGTTCATGCAGCAGCTGCAGATAGAACTGCAGACTGTATACCTGAGTTAGCCTTCAACAAGTGGCTCAGGTACTGCGTGGAAAAGTTGCTATAGCAGCACTGAGTTTTGTGGGGGCTGCAAAAGCTGTCCAAATATTTACCCCATTGTCTGGGCTGGGTTTGCAGACCAATATGAGCTCTTTCCTGCTGAAGCTGCTCTACTTCAGACCTTTCATAAAATGTGTCCTGTATAAGATAAATGTATAATGATCCAGAGCAGTGCCCTCAAGCATGCTGCACTGTTCCAATAGGCTAACGCCTAGACCAGAAGCCATGTAGCCATGTCGGTGTGGTGCCAGGGCAGACTAACTGGCATGGTCACTCAGTAGTGCTAGGTAGTGCTAGTTAATCTAGATGTGGCTGCACAAGTTCCAGTTTAGCCATCCACTTAGAACAGGAAGATGGCTTGAAGATCATGTTCCTGAGCATAAGTTTGCCACACAGGCCCAACAGTGGGTTCAAAACAGAGTTTGTAACTACCCTGCAGAAAAGCATATCAGCACACTGCAACATAAGTTGACAGCATTTTGATCCAGCATCATCATGTTGTATTAAGTCACTGACGCACGTTAGTAATGTGAGGTTATTGCCTCAAAAGACCAAAGACCTTCGGACCAGGATTATTTTCAAGTCCTAAAGCAGATTACTAGCATTAAAAAAATGTTCTACAGATACAGTCCTCACAGAGCCACCCAAAAGAAGGTGGCGACAATCTTGAAGAAACTTGGGTGGAGGAAGATCAACATAAAAAAACATCAATCTGCTTTTTTTGTTTTCAGCACAGGCCAGAATTCAGTCCTCTCTTAGGAAGAATGAAACCACTAACAAATTTCTCATTGTCTCTAGTCTTCTACAGCACCCCTGCTTCCCTCCCTTCCCCCTGCAGTGACATAAAAGAATACAAGTCACCCATCATGCAAAGAACTCTTGACAGATAGGACTGTTTCACTCACGTTGTAGAGGATGTCAGTCCAGCCTTCCATGGTGATACACTGGAAGACAGTTAACACGGAAAACAGGATATTGTCAAAGTTGGTGATTCCATAGTTGGGGCCTTGCCAGTACTTCCTGCATGTGCTTCCACTCTCACATTGCCTGGCCGGAAGCTCCTCTCCACAGGGAAAATCTCCCACCTCCTCACCTATGCAAAAGAGGGTGGGCAGAAACAGTTATCAACCAAAGACTTCCAAGCAGGTGGGTGTCACTGAGTTGTTTCTGCACTGGCCCAAGGGCACCAAGTGCCTCATTTTGATTTACATGTATAAAGCTTTTATGTTGCTCCACATTTAACTTCAGATTATATCCACCTGAGGCCCCTTCACACGGCCATGATGGCATGAAGAGGGTTGTAGTCAGCCGTAAATAATAATCAGGTCCTTAGCAACCAAGCCGCAGAGCTTACAACAGTTTTAGTGCAGCGTCTGAGGCCACAACTGATCAATCCATTCTGTAGCACTAATAGCCAGCGTTTCATTCAGAATACTGCAGAGCCCCACGCTGTGCCCTAAGACCACAGCCTGCAGGGCAATGAGTGGCATAAAATGGAAAGGCCATGGAATCAAAACCCATTGGATCTGAGTCACAGACATGTCATAAGAGGGGTAAGTGCTAAACATTTATATTAATACTACCATAGTAGGCCTATTGTATCACAGCTATAGGACTGGTTCGTTGCCAGTGGTTTAGCTTTGGACAGCTTTAATTTCTGCTGTGGCCAGGCATTATACCCCTGTTTGAATAGAGTGTATAATTGAAGCCTGTGACTTCAGCTTACAGACCAGAGCCTCCTGACAGCACTGTGTGCATAGCTCATTTAAGAGCATGCTCACCTGTGGGTTAAAAGGCAGTGGTGCTCAGGGCCCTCAGTAAGCCTTGCACTGGTCCCCAGTTTAGAAAGCTCACTGCAGCAAAAGGGCAATGTTGAACTGCTGCACATGGTATCTGCTGGGGATACATTAAACTGAGCCCTTGAGGAAAGGGATTTAACAGCTGCCCCAAGGGACACTTTGGAGAGAGAAGAGTATACCAGCACACCTTGATCAATGTTACTTCTCTCATCATACAGGGTTTTGTGTCGCCCAACTGGCAGCCTCTGACTGCACAGCACAAGTCGACACCATGGCAGCAGCCGAGACACCCCTGTTCACCCACACCCATTCACACGCACCAAACTTAGAAATGCACTAATCAGTCCTCTCCAGGACTTCCCTCTGCAGCCACTCTCATGACCTGAGTCTCCAGAGTGCCCAAGAACAGCCACTGGGAACAATCCCAGAACATCCCCAGCAGTGAATTTCTGGGTTTAGAGCATGCAAGAGGAAAAGAGTGGGTGGGCGGTGTTAGAGGGACATCTGGACTGGAACTAGGGTGGCCATCATAAAGGGCACTCCGGTTTTCTGCTACTCTGTCCTCTATTGATACGAAACCCGACGCCTTTATGTCCTCTACTTTTCTCTTTAAGAAAATAGAGTCTGGTTTCATATCAGTAGAGGACAGAGGACAACCTGATTGCCCTCTATTATGGCCACCCTAGCTGGAACACATTTTTTCTGCAAGGTAGACATTCCCATAATGGACTGTACGGTTTTGGGGTAATTAGTCTCTTTGATACATCTTTGTATAGTGCCAGGCTCAATATGGCCCCAACCCCTCGATGCCACCACACACATGCAACAAATAATTAACAACAACTGACAGACATGTCCTCAATTATGACTACAGGACAGACCAGCACTTAATTCACTTGTAAAACTATCTTGATAAGAAACACACTAGCTTGCATCCTATGGTCAGTGACTTCCAGTCCCACTGAAGGCAAAACTAAAGGCTTTTACCACTGGTGAAAACCTCAGTGGATGTATCAAAACTCAGGACGAGTGAGGTCTCATTAAACTGCATCTCAGCAAGATCAGAAATAGCCATTTGTTCTCCTGACTGAGCAAAGAGCAACTAAGCATTTGCCAGATGGATAGTCAAACCTCCTCCACCCCAACCAACAACTAAAGTCTCTTTAGGTCCATATTCCTCTTCATTTTCACACTCGTTGCAGATATCCTGTTAATACATTGGTGGTTCGTATTGCAATCAGCAGAGATGTCTTGGAAATCCAAGTAAATAAAGGCACTTTACATGTGCTCCAGGGGTGGAGGGGGCCATGCTTTAATTAGAGTGGCTCTGAGAGCTGCTCTAATTAAAGCACTACCACATTTCCTGTATCAGCATCCCTACACTTTAAAAATGGCAGTGGGGGCACTTGAACTAAAGCTCATTGAATGAGCTCGAGTTCAAGCGTCCCCACGGCCTTTTTTAAGGATGGGGACACCAATACACAAGACGCAGGATGCTGCTGGAGCACAGCAATTGCCACGCTCCAGCATACTTGATTAATGAAGTCTTCTCTGATTTGCTGGAAGTCCAGCTCGTGTATAGGTGCACTAAGTGCATTGGGCTACATTCTCAGTTATACTAAGGCTATGAAGAGACATCATATTTGTCTCAAGAGGATTCATCATCTCCCAGGACAAACTGTGATGTTTCATACATTTATTTCCATTGTCCCTGTACAGACCCCAAAAAGGGTTGCAGGATAAAATTCACTAATGTGACAAAACAAAAAGTATCTGAACAGATGTCCCAGGATTACAACACTGGATCAATGGCAGAAAAGCAGCAGTTTATTCAGCCACTCACTAAACCCTGACTGGAAGGTGAGGTATGTACATACCAATCCTGTGACTTTTCTGTTCCAGGACAAACACAGGCCCAACTGGTGAAGGGACAAATGTCTGTTCATACCCTAAGCTCCGTTTACAGC